TGTCCCCTCCTATCCTCTGCATGCACCCCCCACCATGCCTAGGGGCACATTAAACTTGCATGAACCAAAAAACCCTTGGGTGTCCTTCTTTGACTCAGTTCCCTCCCTACTCACCACCCCCCAGAAGCAAGGAGTCAACAGGCTCCACTGGGCCCTGGGGGTTCTGCTCCTAAAAGGCTCAGCACCCAGCCCGCCCCTCCCCCTCCTCCTTATACCCAATCCCTTCCCCGTCTGGCCCTGGGCAGCCTCCCAGTATTATGTCCCCTCACCCTGTCCCCTGATCCACCCCAGCCACAGACAGAGGCCACCACAGCAACTGTGGGCCTCTGGAGCAGGCTCTCCCAGCTGCCAGTCTCAGGACCCAGAGCTCAGAGGCATATGGTACCCTCAGGCTCATGCAGGGTCAGAGGGGCAAGAGGAGGCCAGGTGCTCTGAAGGGGCCAAAGCTCTGGACATCAGGGTGGGCTCCTCATCCAGCCCCCTTGGGGCACCATCAACTGATTGGCTGTGCTGTCCTTGCCCCCAGGCTGTGGGGTCCCTGCCACTCACCCCGTGCTGAGTGGCCTGTCAAGGGTTGTCAATGGGGAGGATGCCATCCTGGCTCCTGGCCCTGGTAGGTATCCCTGCAGGTGAGAGGGGTTTTGTGCACGCAAGGGCCAGGCTGGGGAGCTGGTGACCCTCCCCATCTCCCTCCCCAGGACAGATCCAACTTCTACTTCCTCAGGGGTCCCTGGTCAGCAAGGACTGGGTGGTTACCGCCACTCACCGCGGGGTCACAGGAGGGCCAGGCTCAGTGGTGCACACTAGGTGTCAGGGAATGACACTCACCCCTCCTAACCCTACCACACACTGTCACCAGAAGGAAGGATCTGACACAACCTCAGGCCAGGCGCTCCACCCCTGCCATAGTGGGGCCTCAATCTGTAGGGGACATCAACTGCTCAGACCCTCAGGCCACCTGGACCACAGCTTGGGGAAACCTGGGAAGTCCTGTGCCTTCACTGTGTGAACAGGGAAACTGAGGTCCCGAATGAAAGGGATGTCCTGAGGTCATTACCAGGTTTAGTGGCTGAGCTGGGGCTCCCCTTACCTGGCACACGTCCTGGGCATCCCTCAGAGAAGGTGGCCATGCACCTGAGCACTACCTGCCACCTCCCTCTATTCCAGAAGAGCCCCTGTGGGGTAGCTTTGACCAGGAGTCCATTTGGGTGCAGAGGCTGCGGCAGGCTAGGCAGGTGGGAAGAGGCTGTATCCAGGAGCAAGCCTGGCCCCCCACCCAGCTGCCCGAGTCACCCTGCTCCCCACCTGCTCTGCTCATGGGCACCTACCCCTCTGTGCTTTCTTTCCTTCTCTTTTCCAATCATAAAGTACCCATAAACATCCCAACAGCTGTCTGTCATTATAAAATAAGTTTTGCTCATTGTAGAAAAATGTGAAAATATAAAATTTAAACATCACCACCTGTCCCATGCTATTTTCTCACCGGTCTCCACAGACTATCTGTTGCTAGGCCTTTCTCATTTCCCAGTCATGCTAAAACTCCTCTGCATCCTCCACTTGGAGGTCTGCCCTGCACTTCCGTGCCCCTGGAGATCTCTGAGCACCACTGTGTGACGACCAGACTGCAATGTCACCTGCAGAAGCTGGCTGTCCCGCCTACTCTCCCAGACAGTGTCCCTGGCTGCCTGCCCTGCTGGCTTTCTCTGGGACAAGAGCGAGCCCATACAAAGGGGAGTGTTCGAAAGGGGCTTCTTAGGAGTATGAGTCTCAGTTTTTTGGTAAAAATGCCAAGCACAGTTGAGAATTCCAACAGGATCATAAATCTGTCCATTTCTTTAAAATCCTCTGAATTAAAAATCTACCAAACACGAATAGAAACACGGCCCGACTCATGTACTTGAGGCCCCACTGATGTAATTGAACAGCAGGTTTACAGGTTTCAGCACGACTGCCCGCCACAGGGCTGGGGCCAGCCTGGCCCCTCTGCAGGTGGGAGCAGCAGGGCCTGTGGGCTTGCCCAGGTCTCTGAGTGTGGTCCCAGGGGCACTTCCCTGCGCTCCTCCTGCTGTCCTTCCTCCAGAGTCCTTCCCTCTGCTGCCCAGGACATGGCTGCTCTCCTCTCACAGGGCAGAAGCAGCAGGAAGTGGGAGCATAAGGGAGCCTTAGCCTGGCCCCTTGCCCAGTGGCAGGTCCCCTCCACTGTCCCCATCGCAAGGAAGTCAACCTGCTTCCCTGGAGAAGGAGATGGCTCCTCCATCAACCACATAGCAGTAGGGCTGAGGCTACCCAGGCAAGGTCTGTTTAGACACCTTTGCTCAAAGCCAGTCCTGGGGCCTGACATGCCCTCTGAAGAGACCTGTACCCATTCAGGATCTGGGGGTCAGTCCCACCATGTGCTCATGAGGAAAAGGTGGCACAGGGAGGGCAGGTGTGGTGGGTTGGGTGGCCTAAGGGCCTGCCCTGCAGCCAACAGGACCCCCAACAAGCCGCAGCAGACGGCCCTGCCCCTCCTGTGCAATGACAAAATACAAGAAGTTTGGGGCAGGCTGGTGCGGTGGCTAACACCTGTAATCCTACCACTCTGGGAGGTTGAGGAAGGTGGATTGTTTGAGCTCAGGAGTTTGAGATCAGCCTGAGCCAGACCACGTCTCTACTAAAAATAGAAAAATGAGCTGGGCATTGTGGTGGGTGCCTATATTCCCAGCTACCTGGGAGGCTGAGGCAAGAGGATCACTTGAGCCCAAGAGTTCGAGGTTTCTGGCTTGGCGCCCATAGCACACACACAGTGTCTTATGGCACCAGCCACAGACACTGAGGCTGACAGGTTTGAATCCAGCCTGGGCCAGCTAAACCACAACTACAACAAAAAAATAGCTAGGCATTGTGGTGGGCACCTGTAGTCCCAGCCACTTGGGAAGCTGTGGCAAGAGAATCGCTTAAGCCCAAGAGTTTGAGGTTGCTGTGAGCTGTGACAGCACAGCACTCTATGAGGACAAGATACTGAAACGCTGCCAAAAAAAAAAAAAAAGAATTTGAGGTTGCTGTGAGCTATGATGCCATAGCACTCTACCAAGGGCAATAAAAGTGAGACTCTGTCTCAGAAAAGAAAATAAAAATAGAAGTTACAGGGTAGCAAGATCACTGTCTGGGCCAGTGGCATCTCATCTGCATAGTAAGGCTCACTCAGGCTCCTCTGCCCACATCACTGATGGCTCCCAAGGGGAACCACAGGACCCACATCCTGGAGGCCCTGGCTCCCTTTCCCCTCATCTGCTAACCTCACTCCTTCCTGGAGCTCAGTGAAGGCAGGGGAGAGGCTCACAGACACCCACGGGGCTTCCTCTGAGCTGGCTGTGTTGGTCCATGTAACAAGTGACCAGGCTAAGGGACACCTCTGCCCCCAGGAGTCAGAACTGCGAATGTCCTATGAGACCTGAGCAACTCAGGCATAGCCCTGAGCCCACTGTCACCTCTCTGACCCCTCGCTGGATGTCACTAGCACAGGGCACCCTTTCAGGCTTAGAGACATGTCCTCTTTCCTTCCCGCAGGGCACTATAGTGGCAACCTCATCCACCAGGATGGAGCCTGGACTCTGGTGGGCATTATGTCCTGGGGCAGCAGCACCTGCTCCCCCTGTAGGCCCATCACGTACACCCACATCACTGAGCTCATAGCCTGGATCTGAAAGCTGAGCCTGTCCCCTCCCCACCCACCATCTGAGTAAAACTCAAAAACATTGACAGCAACCTCGGGAGGGAGTTGAAAGGATAGATACTAGCACTGGGCCCCCTCTGTGGAGTTTAGGGCCAGGACGGCTAGAACACCCAGCCCTACTCTCTTCTTTGTACAGACAGGGAAACTGAGGCCCCAGTTCATACGCAGAAAGGTCAAAGCTGAGCAGCACCAGGGGCACCAGGCACACCCTGCAGCCCCCATCTGGGCCACAGGCTGCCTTGGGTATACGGGAAGGGAACACACTTGCCAGAGCAAAGCCCTTCTCTGGGCCCCTCCCTCCCAACTCAGAGGCCAGGTCTGTGTGGAGTCCCAACATACCTTGGAGGTTCCACAAACTGGAATGATGAGTTTCTAAGTAAAGCTCTGGATAAGGTCTGTGACCATGAATTTCTTTTTTTTTTTATTTTTTTTTTGAGACAGAGCCTTGAGCTGTGGCCCTGGGTACACAGCCATGGCATCACAGCTCACAGCAATCTCCAGCTCCTGGGCTCGAGCAATTCTCCTGCCTCCACCTCCCAAATAACTGGGACTACAGGCACCTGCCACAACACCCAGCTACTTTTTTTGGTTTTGGTTGCAGCCGTCATTGTTGTTTGGTGGGCCCAGGCTGGATTTGAACCTGCCAGCTCAGGTGTATGTGGCTGGCAGCTTAGTCACTTGAGCCACAGGTGCTGAGCTATGAATTTGTTATGTACCTGCACAGCTTATACCCTACTGGGCTGCTCAACATCCACCCCTGCTCCAGACCCCTGGAGCTCCAGGGATAACTCTAAGGAGCTCACAGAGTTCACCTCTGCTCCAGACCCCAGGAACTGCAGCTGTGCCCTCTGTGCCTCAGACTCTGCATCTGACAGCTGCCCCCCACTTCTCTCCAGCAGCCCAGGCTCCCAAGGCCTGGGGGCCATTTGTAGACCTCATCCTACACAAGGGAGCACCCCAGCCCATAGTCCCACACTGCTTCCTAGGGCTTCTGTTTTCTTCTAAAGGAACCTGCTATTTCTTCACTCTCCCTAGACATGCCACCACAGTCCTCACACCCGCTTAAACCACTTCCCCTGAAGTCTGTCACCCACACCTTGCAGCCCCGGGACACCTGCCTTCTTACTCACTGCCTCCCTCTCATCGTATTTTTTTTTTTTGCAGTTTTTAGGGGGGCTGTGTTTGAACCTGCCACCTCCAGCATACGGGGCTGGTGGCCTTACTCCTTTGAGCCACAGGTGCCACCCAACCTCTCTCATCTTAAACATACCTCAGGCAGCTGCTCTGTAGTTTTTAAATTTTATTTAAATGTAGACTATTAGTCAAATGATTGGAAAAACAATAATGAAAAATAGTTCTTTAGGGTTTTCTCCTGGTGCAGAGAAGGAACGTGTCACAGCTGCACTTGCCCTGGTGGGGACCGGGGTTAGCCCAAGGGTCACACCAGGCCCTGCAGGATGAAGGTCTCATGCCCCTGGTGTGGGACCCTCCCTGGGCCTGTGGTGTACTCAGGGACTACTGCTATCTGGCCTTCGGCACTGGCTCCTCTGTGGAGGCTGCCCCCTAGCCTGCCCTGTCATAAATACGTACAAATCCCTAGACAGTCTGGGGCACCAGGCCCAAGGCAGAGCTGGGGATGCCTGTCCCCAAGCCTGCAGCACATCGACTCTTCAGATGGGAGCGTGGGGCAGCTCGGACCATCACTGCCCCTACACATCCTCCTGGTCACCCGCTCTCAGGCAGCTGCCAGTTGGCCCAGGACCCTACGGAACTGCTGGGTACTGTGGCCCAGCTCCTTGACCCTGTCCACCATGTCCTGGGCAGCCGAGGGGGATGGGTACTGCAGGGCGGCAGCCTTGGTGGTGGCCACGATGCCACGCAGGAGCTCGCACAGCAGGTTGCTATAGTGGGTCACCTGGCTGCGCACGTCAGCTGCCTTGGCCTGCCGAGACAGCGTGTCCCCGATGAATACCAGCTTGTGGGCGCTGAGGATGACAAACTTGCTATGTGCCACGAAGATCTTAGGCGGCTGGTTTGTGGCCACGGCCGTGAAGAAGGCGTCCACAGCATTGGTCAGTGTAGTGAGGTTGGCCTCGCACTGTTCCAGGTAGAAGAGCAGCAGCTGCCGGTCTGAGGGCCCCAGGCTGCCCGTCCGCCCCGGGGCTAGGGGCTGCGCTGGTGTCCACCTGGCCAGGTCATGGTCTATTGGCCGTGACACCTCCTGCTCCAGGCGCTCGAACTGCTTCAGCTAGGGGGGTGGGGTAAGCAGGGCAAGGTCAGGCTCTTGGATGGTTTAGTCAGGACCACAGCCACAGGGCCAGTAAGACTGCCCTGGGCAAAGTGGCAAAGGCTTTTCTAGAAAGGTCTACCCCTTGGAACCCATGCACTGTCAAGAAACAGCAAATCTCCCATCCTAGTGGTGGGTGGGGCCACACACTGTTTTCAGCCTCTAGAAGTTCTTTATAGTACTTTTCCATCAATCTCAAAAGGTTAGGATTGTATTTATATGACAGTTTTGTGGGTATTTTTGGAGGCAGTTTTAGTATGTCGCCCTCGGTAGAGTTCCGTGGCATCACAGCTCACAGCAACCTCCAACTCCTGGGCTTAGGCGATTCTCTTGCCTCAGTCTCTCGAGTAGCTGGGACTACAGGCACCCACCACAGCACCCAGCTATTCTGTTCTTACAGTTGTCATTGTTGTTTAGCTGGCCCAGGCAGGGTTTGAGCCTGCCAGCCTCAGTGTATGTGGCCAGTGCCCCACCCACTGAGCTATGGGAGCCGCCACCTATGTAACAGTTTTAAAATATTAATGCCTGGGGTGAGGGTCACTGCCCTGGTTTGGGTATTATACTATGATTACTGAAGATGTAGCACTGGGCAAACTGAGGGAAGGGTGCTGTGGACCTCCCTGCACTCTCTCTGCAACTTCCTCTCAATCTATAAACATAACTAAAAAGTTAAAAAAACTTATCCTCGGGCGGTGCCTGTGGCTCAGTGGGTGTGGTGGGGATATACCAAGGGTGGCTGGTTCAAACCCAGCCCCAGCCAAACTGCAACAAAAAAAAATAGCCAGGTGTTGTGGTGGGCACCTGTAGTCCCAGCTACTCCATAAGGTAAGGAAGAGAATCGCCTAAGCCCGAGTTGGAGGTTGCTGTGAGCTGTGGGATGCCATGGCACTCTACTGAGGGCGACAAAGTGAGACTCTCTACAAAAAAAAAAAAAAAAAATTCTGGTAAATTAGCTTCTAGAACTATACACTAAAGTATCTCTGCAGTATGATGTCTTCAAAATAATTTACAGAGAAGAAACGGGCTAGGTGAAAAAGGATTAGCTGTTGTTCTGATAATGATGGATGCTGGGTGACAGATTCTTAGGGGTTTTTTTGTTTGTTTGTTTTTAATCTGTGACTGTGGCTAACCACAGTGATCAGATGTCTGGTTTATTTTTAGAGACAGAGTCTTACTTTATTATTATTCTTTTTTTTTTTTTTTTTTACAGTTTTTGGTCGAGGCTGGGTTTGAACCCACCACCTCCAGCATATGGGGCCAGCATCCTACTCCTTTGAGCCACAGGCGCCGCTTATTTTTATTTTCTTGAGACAGAGTTTCATTTTATCACCCCTGGTAGAGTGCCATGGCGTCTTAACTCACAGCAACCTCAAACTCTTGAGCTCAAGAGATTCTCTTGCCTCAGCCTCCTGAGTAGCTGGGACTACAGGCACCTACTACAATGCCTGGCTATTTTTATAGACCTGGTCTCGAACTTGTTAGCTCAGTTGATCTGCCTGCCTCAGCCTCCCAGAGTGCTGAGATTACAGGCAAGAGCTGGGCTTGGTGTTAGGCACCTATAGTCCCAGCTACTAGGGAGGCTGAGGAGAGAGGATCACTTGAGCCTAGGAACTCACGGTTGCAGTGAGCTTTGATGATGCTACTATACTCTAGCCAGGTAACAGAACAAGACTCTGTCTCAAAAAAAAAAAAAAAGAAATTTCTTGACTGGGTAAAGTGGTTCATGCCTATAATCCTAGCACTCTGGAAGGTTGAGGCAGGTGGATCACCTGAGTTCAGGGGTTTGAGGCCAGCCTGAGCAAGAGCAAGATCCCATTCTCTACTAAACTGGAAAAACTAATCAGATTTTAAAAAAAGGGGGTGATGCCTGTGGCTCAGTGGGTAGGGTGCTGCCCCATATACTGAGGGTGGCAGGTTCAAACCCAGCCCCAGCCAAACTGTAACAGGGAATAGCTGGGCGTTGTGGCGGGTGCCTATGGTCCCAGCTACTTGGGAGGCTGGGGCAGGAGAGTCACCAAAGCCCAGGAGTTGGAGGTTGCAGTGAGCTGTGTGATGCCATGGCATTCTATTGAGGGCGATAGAATGAAATTCTGTCTCTACAAAAAAAGAAAGAAAGAAAAAGAATTTCTGAAGAATATTTAATGCTGTGGAAATGTGCCTGAGACAGAAGCAGAGTGTAATGTTCACAGAGCGACATCTGGACAGGTGGAGAGTGCCCCCAAGGGAGGGCGAGGGGTGAGGCAGCCCAGCCAAGAGCCTGTGGGCATGAGTGGATCACTTCTGCTTTGTACCTGTCTGCACTCTGTCTCAGGCAATAATCTCAACATGGAGATAGCCATGAGGCTGGGGTGGGATCGCACTGGCTGGGGCCAGGCCCAGCCCTAGGCACTGAGCGACTCTTGCCCATGGATGAGACCACCGTGCTGGGAGAAGCTGGGGAAGCTGAAGGTCTCGCCCCACTGTGGCCTCACCTGCTGCAGCTCCAGCTGGCTCTTCGCCTGCCGTACAATGTTGCCCTTTTCCAGCAGCTCTTTCTGGGTCTTCTCAAACTCTTCCTTTCCCTGAAGGAGAAAGGACCAGGTGGCCAAGTCAAGTCCCTCTGCTGAGCTGGAAATGCCAGCCTGTGGTGGGGTGTAGCAAGGCCCAGCAGCCACCAGGCGGCAATGCAGGCAGCAGGCTGGCTCTGCGCCCCGCCCACCAAGCAGCTTCCTAAGGAGGCTGCCCTGGGCCTCTTCTACCTCCTGCCAGCCCAGAAAAGGGGCTGCACACAGGGCAGGCTCCATCCCAACAGGAATCAATTCCAAACCCCTCCCCTCCGCCTATGAGGCCAGGCTACCTGGTCCAGCTGCACCCAGCCTGGAATACTATATACCCGGATCTCCACGTGCTGAGATTCTGGCCTTAGGACAAGCCCCAGCTACCTTCCACTGCCTTGTTCAATGTTCCCCATAACTCAAAGCATCTTTGTAACATGTATTTTTTTTTTTGAGACAGAGCCTCAAGCTGTCCCCCTGGGTAGAGTGCTGTGGCATTACAGCTCACAGCAACCTCCAACTCCTGGGCTCAAGCGAGTCTCCTGCCTCTGCCTCCCAAGTAGCTGGGACCACAGGCGCGCCCGCCACAACGCCCGGCTATTTTTTGGTTGCAGCCGTCATTGTTGTTTGGTGGGTCCGGGCTGGGGATTCGAACCCACTACCTTAGGTGTACGTGGCTGGCGCCTTAGCCGGTTGAGCTATAGGCGCCGAGCCGTAACATGTATTTCTTTAGAACTATTTCCCCAAACCTAACACTGGAGCTGCTCAGCCCTGGGGGTACTCAGGAGCCACTCCTGGTTGGTACTGCAGGACCCAATGACATGGCCATGTGGGCTGAAGAATGGGGTTCCTAGGGCCATCTGGCCTGGAAGGCCCAGAAACTTACCTGCTGGGCCCTGAGAGGGGGAGGGACAGTAAAGAAGGGGGCACCCACCTGCAGGTGGACGTAGTCATAATCCTCCATCCAGCCCCCCTCACTGTTCTCATATTGCCCATCTGGCGAGTCCTGGGAGGTGAACTTAGGTGGTGAGGGCAGGGGACGTGACTGGATGCTGTTGGCCTTGTCAGCAGGGTTGGGGTGCAGGGGGCCACCCCCCTCAGGCCCCGGGGCAGGGGCCTTGGTCCGTCTGAAGAGCAGAGAGGCATTGCCATGCAAGAAAGATGCCAGCTGCTTGGCGTCCTCAGGCACAGCCCGTGAACAGGCCACCAGACGGTCAAGATCTTCAGGGGTGGCTCCTGAGCCTCGGCCACTGTCCAGGGCCTGACCATGTGTCACCAGTGTCTGGTATACATCCTCCATCTTCTGCAACTGCCTGCTAAGCTTGGCGTGCAGGGCACGGTCAGATGTATGGGTGGCATTGCCCACAGCATTGCGGGCAAACTCCAGCAGCTCATGGACAGCACCCTGGACGGCAGCCACAGCAGCTCGCAGGTCCTGCACTGGTGGCTCCTGTGGCTCAGGAGTGCTGCGCCAGCCCCCAGCCCCACTAGCACTGCCTGCCAGGTCCAGGAGGTGGGCTACAGTGGCACTCACACCCTGCTGCAGCCGTGCCAGGGCCTCCACAGCCACCTCCAGCTCCAAGGGCTCCCGGCCTGGCCCTGGCGCCTCGAGGGAGGACACAGACTGGCTGCTGCGCGTGCTGCCAGTACTCGAGGCTGACAGGCGCTTGCCATCTGCTGGAGCCTCGCGCTCAGTCGGGGGTGGCACCGCGTACACGCCGTCGTCAGCTACGCTGCCATCAGCTACCTCAGGAGGAAGCACTCGTTCACGGGGTACATCGTAAAGGGTTCCGGGGCCAGGCCGCCGCAAGCCAGGGGGCACATCGTAGAGGTCAGGAGCTGGGGGTGGGACATCATACACATCCTCAGTTGGTGGGGAGTCCGCAGGGGGTGCAGCAAGAACAAGTGGGTGTCGGGCTGGGTCAAAGGGCTTGGTCTTGGAGAAGGCGGGGGGCACATCGTAAGTCTCCTCACGTAGCAATGGGCCGTCAGGCACATCCTTGCTCACTGATGGAGGAACATCGTACACCTGGGGGGACAAGTGATGGTCAAGGCTATCCATCCTTTTGCCCATCTCAGGGGCTGTGGCAGGACACAGCTGAGGAACATAATCATCATGATTCTTAATCCCCAAAGGCTATGGTGAAGGGTCCAAGCCTAGAGCCTGAAGACTCCACCTCTCTGTGCCTGTCTACTCCCTGTGATAAGGGAGAACGTCACAGGGTTGCTGAGGGTTACATGTGTGTTGACACGTAACTGTGTTAAGTGTATTCAAAGGTTAGCTATCCTGTTGCCACTGCCACTTTCATCACCATCACCACTTTCAACGCCACTTTCATCTCGATCATCACCACCTTCACCAGGACCTTCACCACCACGTGGTTTTCCCAGGACAGTCCTGGTTTGTGCCTGACACTCCCACGTAACTATAGGTCCCCTGTCTACTCTCACAAGTATCCTGGTTTAAACGACGGATCTCATGGCCACCTTGCTAGTACATCTCATTACTTGCTAAGAAGGTCCCACAACAGGCCGGTCACAGGTGAAGCAGTGGAGACTCAGCAGAGAGCTCAGTTTCACATCTGTCCCAGAGACATATACGTATCCACAGGGCAAAGCAGGGTTGGGGGCCAGTCTCTCTCTGCCCCCGGCCCTGTGCAGCACCCAGTCACCCACAACCACCCACAGAGCCGCTCCAAGGCCCCGGCACCTGCTGACTGCTCACCGCATGATGGTTGGATGGCGGCAGGCCCTTCTCTACACTGGGGGGCACGTCATACACGTCCAGCAATGGGTCTCGGCCATTGGGACCCTTAACAGCCATGGGGGGGGTGTCATATACCTAGAAGCAAAAAGGTGCAGTGTTACAGGTGCCTCAGGTGTTATAGGCAAAACAGGAAAGGTGGAAACCCCACTGCAGCCACCCCAGGACCTGGGCTGCAGATGCTGGGCCGCTCAGGCCCCGGATAGGGCTGAGAAAATCCTCTCCTACTCACCCCAAAACACTTACCTCCTGGCTGTACTGGCTGGGAAGTAGCCCCCGAACAGGGGGCACATCGTAGATGTCCTGAGGCCCTGGGGCCAGCAGGTGTCGAGGGATGTCATACTCGTCTTGCTCTGGCTGGGAAGCCTCGAAGACGTAGCCTTGCCCTACTCGGGTGGGCACCACCACCTAGGGGACAGAGAGCCAACTTCACCCCTGGCCCTCCAAGCCAGCCTTCAGGACCCACTTACACTTACAGACCTTGGTGAGACTTCACTCGCATCTGCAGGCCACCTCCCCTGTATGGCCAGTGAGGAACATGCAGGTGTGGGGGGTTCCCTGAGGATGGGTTTAGGCACCTAGTCCTCATCCCCTCCGCATTCTCTGACCTCTGTCAGTGAGGCACAGAGCTTGGGGCACAATAAGACCTCTAGGTTTTCAGATCTGTTTGGTTCTAGGCTAAGAAACAGGTCTCTATTCCTGATGACCCAGAAGGTTCCAGAAGAGTGAGCTGACCAGGAGAGAAGAAGCAGGTCAAGGCCCCTGGCTCTAGAGGACACTGCCAGTGGACAAGGGGCCACCCTCCCCTGGGGTGAGCAGCACCACAGAGTGAGCCATGGCCAAGGCCTCCGGAGCCCTGCTTGCCGACACCTCTCAGCTCCACCTTCCTCAAAAAGGCCTGACCTGACCACGGGACCCAGCTGTGGCCTGCCAGGCTCTAGGGAGACACAGGGACAGGTTCCATACTGGCCCAGAGGAAGTGGCTTGAAGGGGATTCCCAGGAGTCAGGGCCTGGGGCCTCCCACGAGTGTTGGCTGGCAGAGAAAGCACCCTCCCCTGCCCTGGGCAGCCTGTCTTGGGGAGATCCTGAGGACAGGACCGTCAAGTACTCACAGCCCTCAGGGCCAGCTTGGAAGGGCAGGTGGGTGGTGGTGGTGTCACAAATCAGAACCTCACTACCCTCTGGACCTACACCTGTGAAGTGCCTCGTGGCACACAAGACCCCAATCACCTGAGGGACAGTGTGGGGGGCTGGCCTGCGGGAAAACTATAGCAGGAAGCCTGGCACCACGTAGTAGGCAGACGTGGGTGTGAGGGTCTGCTCAGGACAGCGATGCCCCTCACCCTAGCACCAGCCTGAGGGGGTTGGGGCATCCCTGCACTACCATGGGGAGGATGAGCCCAGCAAGTCCTCTGCCCAGCTCAGGCCCCCACACCTCCCCGTGGGGCTCCCTGTTCAGATCTCTCCACAGAAAGGCCGTTGTTCCTTTATCAAAAGGGATGTCAGGGACAGGGTGGACTCAGGCACTCCCCCTACGCACCCACACCCGTAGGGACAGCAGAGCCGGAGGAGGCCCCTCCCTCAGGCTCCTGAGGACATGGGCTCTGAGGACAGGCTCCCCGGGAACAGCAGTGGCATTCAACCTCCCTGCAGGCAGTGTGGACACTGGCAGCCCTGGGCCTGGCACAGGCTCCCAGGCAGTGCGGCAGGGCTGGGCAGTGACGTCGGGCCAGCTGGCCTCTGGGCTTCGTCTGGCAGCAGAGCCAGGCAGGCTGGTGCGGTGCTCCCTGCCCCCAGGGCGTCTGGAGTGGAGTTGGGTCTGCCTCTCCAGACTCATCCCCTCCTAGCGCCCCAGACTTGAGTCTCCTCCAGAGCTATTTTTAGATACTGGAAGCTGCCAACATTGGGGTAGGCGGGGGCTGGCGGGACGTGGCAGGTTGGCCAGGCCTTGAGACAAGGCCCAAAGCTTCTCCAGGCCCCTGGGCCTCCCAAAGGCAGGTAGGGAACCAAGCCCCAAAGGTCAGGCAGGGCACTCCTCTCAGGTGGCAGGTCAGCCTGGACCCAGTGCCAGGAAGAGGCATGACCACCCTCTGATGTGTGTCCTCATGCAGTCGGGCCCAGATGCGCAGGCCAGAGGGCTTTGGTGACCAGACCCCAGACCCAGGGCTAATGGCTGCTTGCCAGACCTGCAGCTGAGTCGAGTGGCAGCAAGCAGCCACATTGAATGGTAAATGTTTTTCTGTCAGAAAATCACAGGCCAGCCACCAGCAAGGGAAGCTCATTAGGGAAATGGACACTCCAGAGAGCTGCTGAGCCCTGCTAATGATGAGCCACCCTGCTCCACACCTGAGGCCCCATTATCAGGATGTGGAGGCCCCTGAAGAACAGAGGATACAGCCAGAGTCTAGGAGGAGGAAGACAGAGACACAGCCATTGACACAAGACCCACACAGCGATACACCCCCCTATACAGCTATGCAGGGGAAATGCACAGCATGTGTCCAGATGTGCTCACAGCTAGCCCAGGCAGCGCAGGGCCCCTGAAGCCAGGGCTGTGTCCTCCCACTCCCTCCTCCCAGTCAAGGGACAATGACTCAGAAACGTGCCCTAGCCTCCAGGTCAGCCCTGGCTCTGTTGGGAGAAGACGGCCCCTGGCACTCCACACTCTGCCCTGGGGACCCTGATCACCTCCAGGCAGCTCCCCTTTCTGCAAAATGGATGTCACCCTACTGACTTAGGCTGTCTCCATGTCCTGCATACCCCTGCCCTTTCCCACCTGGAGGTCGCATTTTCCTCCTCTGGGAAATAGAGCTCCATAAGAGTACCATGAGGCTGGGGAGGTGATCGCTACTCCCAAGACACACCTGAGGGGGAGACTAGCCTGAGCAGCCAGGACTGTGGCACACTCCTCTTCCCCTCCGACTGGGCTCATGCCACATCCCTCAGGCCTGACTCAACGCCACAACTGCCCCTTGAGCACAGCTGTAGCCCCTAACCCAGGGGCACTCCCTCAAGAGTGACCTCACACAGATGCCTCCCCCTCTGGGGTGTCCCACCTGCAAGAAATGAGCCTTTGCCCTCCCTCAGCTTCTGACCAAAGGGTCTCAGTGTCCAGGGTGGCCCTGACCTCTCCCTCAGCCATGCAGATCACTCAGCACCAGATGGAACCTACTCTAAGCCTCGGGGCTTGACCCCTCTTAGCCACTGGCCTTGTCACTCGCCCTTGTGGCTTCCTGGATGCCAGTGCCCCTCCTGCCCACATGCAGGTCTGGCAAGTCAGCCCAGCCAACCTCTGCCCTGCCCCAGGAGACTCGGGTTCCCAGGCACTTGAGGGGCAGAACCCTAAACAGGCACAGATGTGCACATCAAGATGTTCACTGCCACACTGTGACAACGACACAAGGAATCTGGAACCACCCAGCATCCAGCCCCAGGAGAGGGGCCACCAGGCACACTCAGGCTTAGGTGCTTAAAAATCCAAGAAAATGCATTTGAGATCTAATGTTGGACTTACAACTTCAAAATGCAAAACTATACGTACAAATAGAGAACATGCGAGACAAAAGATGCCAGGATTTCCCAGGCATTATTACCTCTTGATGCAGAGTTTCATCTCAGACTTTTTCATTCATTATGCATTTTCTATGGCAAACAAATACCACTTTCATAATCACAAAATACAAACAGACACAATCAAGGCTGTCCAGGCCAGGAGCAAGGAAGCTTTCCGAGGGAGGGCAACCAGCCCCAGGACACAGGGCTCTCCTTCCTAGGCAACCAGCCAGGTCAGGCCTTGTGAACACAGGCCCGGGGAAGAAAAGGGCCTGCCCAGTAAGCCCCTGAAGCAGTCTGCAAGTAAGCCCCTTACCTGGGAGGGAAATAAAACAGCTGCCAAAATATAGGCTTAAGGCCAGAGCCAGGCCCCAGGATCTCAATGCTGTTCCCTGGCCATAGGGCTCCCACTGTCTGCCCCAGACTCCCGTGCACCAGGGCACCAAGGTGAGTGTGGGGAGAGGGAGGGCATGCCTGACTAGGGTGTGAGATGTGGGTATGCACCTGTGTTCACACATGTGGGCATGGAGGCTCCCAACCAGGCACTGCTCTCCGTGGCAGGACCACGCGCCTCTCCATACAGCAGCTCTAAAGCAGCCCCATCCTAGGCTGGGCCAGCAGGGTGAAGGAAGAGGTAAGGTGGGAAGTGGGAGCTGGTGACCCAGGCTGCCTTGGTGGCCAAGGGTGGGACAATTCTACCTTCTGACTCACCACCTATCTGGTACCAGCAAGGTCCCCACCTTGGCCCTGAGCTGGCTCTGAGGACAGAAGCTCAGTGCCACGGGCTGAGCATCCCCTTGGCCTCTGCCTGTTCAAACACAGGTGGCTCTGGACAGCTCCACTGGCAGAACCTGGGCTGCCCCTCTTAAAAGCCAGCTGCTGTGTCCACCACCAAGTGACCTCTCCCATCCACCATGGTCTTCCCAGGGCAGGGCTGGCTGCCAGGGCTCTCCCTGGTGGGGTAGGATGGGTTTCTCAGGTCCTCCTGGTCAGCCACAGGGGAGAAGCAGACATGTAGGCAGTGGGAAGCTGGGTATGGTGGCTCAACCTCCATGTCTCAGGCCTAGGAAACTCCACTTGCCATCTCTGGAAGGGCTAAGCAACCAAAGGTAAGCAGCACTTGCTCCTGACTCAGCCCAAACCAGCTGGTGGGCATGGGGAGACCGGGGCGGGGGGTGGGGTGGGTTGGAAGGCCTCTGTAAAGCTCAGGCTGCTGAGCTAAGAGGCCAGAGGTCTTGTACCTGAGCCCAGCATCCCATCAGCATTAACTAACCCTGTGGGGCTTGAGCCTGAGTTTCTCCAAGGCACCCTGCCCTGGCAATCCCATCAGCGGTGTCTCCTGTGGTCCAGGAATCAAAACAGGTCACTGTGTAGGCACCTGCTGGGCCATTAACCAGAAGTGGAGAAGGGTTGGGCTGTGGAGCTGGGCATGGCTGGAAGTGTGTCTCACCCCATTTAGGGGCTGACACAGAAACTCAGAGGACTCACGGGAGGCTGGCCAGCGACTGCTGAGGGTTCTCCAGGAGCCCTCTGCCCCTTTGTCCTTAGGACAGACTCTGGGTTAGTGAGACACGAGACATGATCCCTTGTGGCCAGATAGACCACAGACTGAAGTTCTAGCCAAAGGAGGTAAGAGGAAAGATCATCAGAGAGGGCACATCCTCCTGTGTCCTTCCCTTTCCTGCTTGCCGAGAGAGGCAAGGGCCAGAATTCTAACAGCAGCTCCCCCTGCTCTGTAAGACACAGGACCATGCTGAGGACAGTCGTGGAGGTGCCTGTCTGTCCTGGCCTCTCACCTCCAAACTTGCTTTATGTAGGAAAGAAATAAAGCCCGTTGTTCAACCCTCTCTCACCAAGCCAACACATGCCTTCCCCACTTGATCTCTCCCCTTCAAGTGGTCCCCAAACCTCACAACCTCCTCTTCTTGGGCTCCCTGCCCGTCCCGGCCTCTCTACACTCTGCCATGTCCTCTGTCCATGGTCAGAATGATGTCACTAAGACGCTGATCTGGGCAGGTCATTCCTGCTCAAAACCCTCCACCGCAGGGCAGCATCCAAATCTTTGGTAGGCACTGGGCCCTGAGGACCTGCTGCAGCCTGCTGCTCTGGCCTTGTGTGCCAAGCCTTGCCTACCCACCTGACACACAGGACACTTGTTCACGCCTCCAGGCCTCTGCTGCTTCTTCCTCTGTGGTAACACCCACCCACACAGCACAGTTTGTGCAAGGCCAGCTCAACGCCTCCCCGTCCAGACTGCCACAGCCTGTGCAGGCCCATCTTCACCAGATGAATGAAAGCTTTCCCCAAACACTCACCTCTTACCTTAACTCCAAACCAAATGCACATCCACTGCTGGGATGCCAGCGACTCTGAAGGTAACTAGGCAGGTTTTACCCAGAAACTAGGGGTGGGGCTAAACCCATGGGGTTGCATGGCAGTGCCAGGCTAGCCTTACCTTTGCTGGGGGCTTCGTCCCCTCCCAGTTCCGTGTGTCCATAGACAGGGGAACCTGGTAGATGTCATGCCCCATCCCAGCAGAAGGTGGCACTTGGTATATGTCCTGGGCAGGACTTCCAGGCCCTGGTGGCACCTGGTAAAGGTCTGTGGCTGGGCTGGGAAATGGGTGATGGGGCGTCTGCTTTGAAAACGTGGACGTCTGCTTGGCTGGGGGTGACTGGAACTGAGGGCTGGGCCCAGGGGCTTGGTAGAGGCCTTGCTGAGCCTTGCTGGGGGTGGGCACCAGGTAGACGCTGTCAGGCTGGTAGGCAGCAGGAAGCATGGGCGTGTACTGGGAGGCCGGGGGCACTGCAGCGTGGAGGCCCTGTGGGTGGCCAGGCTGGGGTTGGGCTGCGGCGGCAGGTGGGCCAGGACCAGGCCCTGCTGGCTTCTTGTCATACATGCCCACCAGGATCTTGAGGCGATTCCCGGGCACAATGCCTTGGCGCCCGTGCAGCGAGCAGAGCCACCAGCCGTCCAGGCCCTGTGTGTCCCGCTCCAGCACTGTCATGATGTCGCCCTTTCGGAAGGAGAGTTCATCTGGGGACTCAGCCACATTGTCGTAGAGGGCTTTGGCCAGCACGTTCTGGGAAGAGAGGACACAGGCAGGCGTTAGAGCAGGAGGACATGCACAGGGAGTCTATGGGCTCCCACCGCCTCTGGGACCTGGCAGCATCTAGTTTTGGCACTGGGAAAGAGGCTCAGTCAGAGATCATGGCACCTCTGCCCCCACTGTCCTTGCCCCATTCCCACAGTAAGGCCCAGATCCCAACTGCAGCCGCCAACACTGCAGGAATGGCATTTGAGACACTCCTAATGGCTGGGTGCAGTGGCCCATGCCTGTAATCCCAGCACTCTGGGAGGCCAAGGCGGGTAGACTGCTTGAGCTCATGAGTGCGAGACCAACCTGCAAAAGTGAGACCCCATCTCTAACAAATAGCTGGGCATTATGGTAGGCACCTGTAGTTCCAGCCACTCGGGAGGCTGAGGTAAGAGAATCGCTTCAGACCAAGAGTTTGGGGGCCACGGCACTCTACCAAGGGCGAGAAAGTAAGACTCTGTCTCAAAGATTAAAAAAAAAAAAAAAAAAAAAGACACTCCTAACTACCCCCATGCCATACCACCTGTAAGACTAGTGGCAGGGAGAGCAGCAGAATGACAAGAATGGCCAAAAGGTTAAAAGAAACAGCAACTGATTCACTCATGAGATGCAGGAAAATGATTTGAGGCTCAGCGCCCGTAGCTCAGTGTGCAGGGTGCCAGCCACACACACCCAGGCTGGCAGGTTCAAGCCTGGCCTGGGCCTGCTAAACAACAATGACAACTGCCACTAAAAAATAGCTGGGTGTTGAGGTGGGTACCTGTAGTCCCAGCTACTTGGGAGGCTGAGGCAAGAGGTTGCTGTGAGCTGTGATGCCAGAGCACTCTACCCAGGGTGACATAATAAGACTCTGTCTCAAAAGAAAAAAAAAAGAAGACAAAAATGACAAGATAAAAATACTAAAAAACAGAGACAGAATTTCCTTAACTTAATAAAGTCCACCTAGGGTGGTGCCTGTGGCTCAGTGGGTAGAGTGCTGGCCCCATATACTGAGGGTGGCGGGTTCGAACCCAGCCCCAGCAAAATTGCAACAAAAAAATAGCCAGCCGCTATGGCAGGCACCTGTAGTCCCAGCTACTTGGGAGGCTGAGAGAAGAGAATTGCTTAAGCCCAAGAGTTGGAGGTTGCTATGAGCTGGGACGCCACGGCACCCTACTGAGGGTGGTAAAGTAAGACTCTATCTCTAAAACAAATAAACAAAAAAAAGTCCACCTACCAAAACTCTACCAAAGTATCTATAATCAAGGAAGAAACTTCAAACACCTTCCCTGAGGCTGGGGAGAAAAGCAGATGGATGCTTCCTGCTCCTGGTCCTGCTGTGTCAGCAAATCCTCCAGGACAGGGCTAGCTCTACCAGGCCCAGGAACTGAGCAGCCTGGGCAGAGCCTGGAGGAGGCCATGGGAGTAGAGGGAGGAGGACACAGTGTGGGCAGGCCCAGAGCCTCATACTGGGGATGTGGCCAGGGCAGGGAGGCCCTGCAGTTTCTGTCCCTGTGCACGAGGTCCTCACCCTGCTGCTGCTGTTGCTCCCCTTGTCCAGGTGCCAGGCTCAGGCTAAGTCCCAAAACATCACAGGGGGCCCGGCCCGCAGCTACAGGGTGATGGTCAGTCCCAGCAGAGGGCAGGCACAAGGGAAGTGCCTACGTTAGACAAGGCCGGGCTTTGTAGCCCCTACCTGGGCAGTGGAGGGCTGTCTGTGTTCAGCAGGGGTCCCACACTGCACACGTAGGGAAGGCCAGGTCTGCTGGGCTGGTGATGCCCTCCTGAGGTACAGCCATCTCCCAGCCTGACCTCAGCTCTGGGCTGCCCAGCAAGGTCCCTCCTAGAGTCTCCTGGGGTCTGAAGACTCATAGCCTGGTCTAGACTGACTCAAAGTAGGACCCAGGTTTTGGCCTGAGTCCCATCCTTGGACTCCATCTCCAAGGAGTCAAATGAGATTTCAGGAGGAAGGGCCACACCCCTTGGGCAGAAACCAGAAGTTGCAGCCTGGATCCTGGGGCAGAGAAGAGTGGGGTGAGGCCCCACCCAGGTCCTAAGGCCCATTCTCTTCCTTCTGCACCAGTGGCTGGGGCTGGAAAGCGTGCCTCTGAGCTCCATCTTCTGGCCCACCACACAGTGTGGGAAGAGGATGCTGGCACTTGGGGAGAGGCCCAGGAGCAGATGTTCAGACCCAGCCACTCCTCTGCCTAAAACAAGCCATCAGCCAGGAGCCCTACTTCCCCAGAAAGGGCTAGAGGCCAGCCAGAGCATTGGGAGCCAAGAGGGGCAAGGCCCAGTGTAGAGAGGCAGCTTGGGCAGGGCAGAGCCCAGAAGGGCTCACCTTAGTACCAAGCTGAGCATCAATGGCAAAGGGCCACAGAATTACTATAATTACCATGACACTATCCATACCACGATTATGACAGAATTAAAAAGTCACTGAAGCATAAATGATGTCTCAATTAAATATCGTATGAAATTTTTAAGTGGGAAGGTCAAAATAGCACGAGCATGTCTGCGACAATGCGGGGGTACCTTCTCTTCCTGCTTTTCAGAATTTTTCTAGTTGTATTTAATGCCTATTTCTTGCTTTGGGTTTGGGGCCTGAAAAACTACACATCCTGAGAAAAAACAAACAGTGAACAACCTCCAAGGTTCTGAGGCAGGATAGGACAGGCAGCCAAAGCCGGTCCAGAGCCCAGAGCCCCACAGGGCAGCCAACGAAGGGTCAGGGGTAGGGGCTGCCTCTTAGCCCACCAGGGCTCACAGCCCCCAGGGCCCCAGGCTGCCAGGCGAGTAGCAAATTTCCCAAATATGGTAAGCAGCCTGACTCCAGGAATCACATCTCATCAGGGGGCGGGACACCAGGCACCCTCCCCCAGTGACCCCACAGAATACAGAGCTGCCCTGTGGGTCCCCCTAGCCCCTGTCCTGGTGACCACAGGAAGTGCCAGCAGAGTGAGTCACAGGAAAATTCCCTTCCAGTCAAGTCAGAGGGGGTAGGGGTGTGGACAAAGGGGACTGCCCCTGGCCTTGAAGGCTTCTCACCTCTCCAGAGGGAAGCCCAGTGAAGGCTGGCAGAGAGGTCCCACCAGACAGGGCCGAGCACTCAAGGAACTGAGAGAGCAAAGGCAGTTTGGGGGGAGGGCGGTGTCTGCTGAGGGCAAGGAGAGGAGAGGTCTGGCCCAGGTGAGCCACATCTCAGGCCTCCCAAGATGGCCAGTCCCCCCTCACAACATAAGCTCACTGAAGGCTGCAACTTAGCCTGGGGCAGCTGAAGCCAGACTGGGAAGCACCACCTCAGGCTGGGCACATGGCACCAGCCCCTGGCACGAGGAGCTCCCCACTTGTGTCAGCTGGCATACCCCTACCCAGAGCCCCCAAGGCAGCCCCTCTCCCACCCAGCCTGAGTCCCGGGCACTGCTGGTGCCCAACAGACCACTCCAGCTGGCCCAGCACTCACCTCTTTGGGCCTCTCTGCCTCCTCTGCCGCTCCTCCAGGACACACTAGCCTGTCCTCTCACGAGTCACTAAGCAGCAGCTAAGACCCAGGTCTGGATCCAGCTCTCCCTCTCACTGCTATGTGACCTTGGGCAAGTCCTTTAGGTTCTCTGAACACACAGATTCTCTGCCAAGATGACAGTCCTGGCTTCACAGGATTGTTCTTTTGTTTAAACAAAGATTAGCCCAGTTCCTGTTCTAGGCCAGTAGGCACTTGGCCAGGCTCCATGAAGACAGCCTAGCTCGACCAGGCCCCCTGTCTGCATGGGGCTTACCATACAGTGAGGAAAAAGACAATTTGCTATGACAGGGAAAAAGTGGGGTGCCAAACATAATGTGGGACAAGGCCTCTGCGTATAGAGTCAGAGATGGCATCCCCAAGGAGATGACGTTTCAGACAACTCATGCCAGGGAAAAGCAGGGGGGCAGAGGAAGGGCATGAGCCTAGGTGCTGGAGCAGAGAAAGGGAGGGTGGGACCTGGGGTAGCAGGCAGGGACTGGTTCCACTACAGATCCCATGGGATGAAGCAACGATGGCTCAATAACCATCATCCAAACAGCAGCTTCTCGTGGCCAGATGAGCCCAGATGGGGTAGAGCCCACCCCCTAAGCACTCCTGCTCTGGACACGATCCCGGGTCCCCCTAGCCACCTCTCCTCTCACTATGCCTCACCCTTGAAGGAGAGGAGAGGCCAGCCTCCCCAAACCTGCTTTCCTGGCCTTCCTCACTGCTGGGCACATGACCCATCTGGGCCAGTCAGGGGTTCCTATCCCAAGCTCTTTTTTTTTGAGACAGAGCCTCAAGCTGTCCCCCTGGGTAGAGTGCCACGGCATCACAGCGCATAGCAACCTCCAACTCCTGGGCTCAAGCGAGTCTCCTGCCTCAGCCTCCCAGGTAGCTGAGACCACAGGCACTCCCCACAACTCCCGCCCACCTTTTGGTTGCAGCCGTCATTGTTGTTTGGCAGGCCCAGGCTAGATTCGAACCCGCCACCCTAGGTGCATGTGGCTGGCGCCTTAGTCACCTGAGCCATAGGCGCCGAGCCCTATCCCAAGTTCTTGAGGGATACCCCGCTCTGCCCTCGGAGGGGTGGATAGCCAGGGCACTGCCAGTCCACCCAGATGCTATTGCCCATCTGCTCCAAGGTACAACAGAGGCTGCTGCCTGACTTGCCCACAGTCTCTACAACCTCACCCCTGCCTATGGGAACCCTTCTGAGGCATCCTACTTCTCTCTCAAGACACACTAGGACAGGCTCGGCGCCTGTGGCTCAAGCAGCTAAGGCGCCAGCCACGTACACCTAAGGTAGCAAGTTCGAATCCAGTCCAGGCCTGCCAAAACAACAATGACAGCTGCAACCAAAAAAATAGTCGGGTGGTGTGGCGGGCACCTGTGGTCCCAGCTACTTGGGAGGCGGAGGCAGGAGACTCGCTTCAGCCCAGGAGTTGGAGGTTGCTGTGAGCAGTGAAGCCATAGCACTCTACCCAGGGGGACAGCTTGAGGC